AAACACGTCAAGTCTATACGCGCCATGACAAATAAAGGATCTAAAGAGCGCGCACACGCGAGAGAGAAAAAGAAAAAAAAACAAAACTTATTCGTTAGATAGCAATGCCTGTCGAGTGCGGCGGTATCTATCGCACGCTCACATCCATCCGCGCGCAAAGTAATCCCTCAGCAATCAGATGTAGTACTCCGCGCTGCTCGCCCGCGATCAGCCACCGTCAATCGCAGTGATCCACACTCCCCTCATCTCCACCACGCACACACTAGCCCAACCACCAAGTACCCCCCCCACATACACACACCCCAGCACGTACACGACACTACCTGCACAGACCTACCGCGATACTCAACACAACACAACACACGCACGCGCGCACGCACGCATGCACGCACGTCTATTAGTAATGACCGCCGATGCGTTCACTGTATATCGCAGCAGACGGCGGAATCTTTACGGCTCAGCCGATCCGACGCGATACGGAAGGATCTCGGAGCTTAATATGTAGCCAGTATAGCTGGTGCACACGATGCTTGCCTTCGATCGTCTGCCGTAGCGGAGCGACGGAGCGCCATCAGCGTTCACAACGACACATCGCTACGGCTTCGTAGCGATGCAATAACGTCGGAGCAACTGCATGCACTCGGGAGAGACGTGCCTCTAAGTCTAACACACAGCTTGATTCAACAGCGACTAAGCGAAGCGAGAAGTGAAAGAGGCGGATGACGATGGGTGCGAAAATAAAGATGCTATAGGGTGCATGCGCACCCACAGGCACTTGAAGCGTTTCAATAAAATATATACGCAGGGGTCGTGCGCTGTGCACGGCGACAGTTAAATATATAGCTAGCTATATATTTAGTTAGCTATATAGTTAACTGTCGCCGTGCACAGCACACGACCCCTGCGTATATATTTTATTGAAACGCTTCAAGTGCCTGTGTGCGCGCCGACCTCCCTCATGCTTTATGAAACTACATCGTACGACAATCCGTGCTAAGTAGGCCTACACTCACTCCTGTGACCTTTCTCATTGGTGTACTTTCCAATTAAACTTCCTATATTAGCATAATACTCCCCTGTGACCTTTCCGATTAGTATTCAATCCAATTAAACCTTACACACTAGCATAACCACCCTGTGACCTTTTCGATTAGTATACAATCCAATTAAACTTTCCATATTAGCATAATCCCACTATGACCTTCCACACTAGTATACATTCCAGATATAGCTTCCATACTCCCATAGTGACGCATAGTCCCTCCAACATATCTGCATAGTGGCATATATGCATAACATATGTGACATATATACGTGGCATATAACATATCAACATATCTGGCATAGTCCCTCCAACATATCTGTCATATCAGTAACCTCGCCCCTGAACCTCTTCCACACTAGTAAACGTAATAGCAAGGACTCATGTACAAGTAAACCTTCCCGTAAAACATTCCATATCAGCATGCTCTCATACCTTCCATACGAGTACACCTTCTCATATTCTTTACTATTAAATTCCCCCCAAGGCCTCACATACAAGTGAGCTCCGCCGCAAAACTTTCCATGCTAGTAGGTTCACTGGTTGTGACCTTCAATACTGGTAATCCCACTCGTAATATCTTCTGTGCTGCTAAAATTCGCCCATGACTCCTTCTATGCCAATAAACTCACGTGAAGTACTTTCCATACTACTAAACCCTCCCGTAAAACATTCCATGCCAGCGAACTACCCCCAACAACCCTTGATAGCATTCCCTCGCACACACCAGTAAACCTCCCCATAAAGCCTTCCATACGACGAAAATCTCCCACAAGACTTTTGATTGCATTCCCTTGCACACACCAGTAAACCTCCCCATAAAGCCTTCCATACGACGAAAATCTCCCACAAGACTTTTGATTGCATTCCCTTGCGCACACCAGTAAACGTCCGTACACATAAAGCCTTTCATTCAAGGAAAATTTCCCACAAGTCTTTTGATTGCATTCCCTCGCACACACCAGTAAACCTCCCCATAAAGCCTTCCATACGACGAAAAACATCACGTCGCCTCGCCTCGTCCGTGTTGTCCTGGGCCACATGTCACTTTGCCTTTCTGTCCGCTATGCCTTCATCTACGGCGAAGAATGTTGGCGAAAGAAAGGACGCGAGATTGCGATGCGTCGCGTCTTACTGCGTTGCACGCGCGCAGCTAACGGCGACGGATTTTTCTGGCGTGCCCATTGATCGTCACCTGTCTCGATTTCTAAGCAGCTTCTTTACAGCATTGCTGTCAGATAATCAGTAAGCTTGGCTTGTTAGACTCCAGCGGCGTCTAGTGGTCTGATCACGACGCGCGGGGGCTGAATCTATCATGGAAGGAATATAACACAGAAAGACGGACAGACGTGCGCGGCTCATCACACAGACCATGATGAGATAGAGAGATAGACACACACAGCGCGCGCACGCACGCACATCGCACCCACACACAGACTCAAGGTGCACCGCACACGCACGCGCACGTACGTGTTTAGATATACACGCAACATATGCTGGCACACGCGCGCGCGGACGGTGGGTGTCCCGCACTCATGCACTCTGCACGCACAGCACGCACGCCACGGCACGCACGCACGCACGCACATACCACACACACTCAGGTGCACGCACAACGCAGGCGTCCACGTACGTGATTTATATATACACGCACATATGCTGGCCAACAGAGCCCGCTCGCACGCCCCACTCATGCCGCGACACCACGCGACGCCACGCCGTCACGCACAGCGACGCACACGCACGCCCAACCACGCTACGCACCACCACTGCATGTAAGGACAGGACGTAGGGCACGAACGCAAGGCCGCACGCGCGTACACACGCCACGCACGCACGCACGCAGACACGCGGACACACACGCACCAGCAGGCAAGGCAACGCAAGCACGTAGGCCAGGCAGCGTACGCACGCCAATGCCGCGCCCGCACGCAAGCGCACGCTCCGCACGCACGGCAACGCGCACAACGCACTCGCTAACTGAGACAATGGCAGCTACAGGTATTCAACGTTTAACCACCGGTGAGATATGTTACGTTGCATGTGCTTTTACAGAGTCGTATTATCCTATTACGCGCCAGTTCACGTCGCGCCGATTTTATTCTCCCTAGTAATAATCAGGAAACACGCTCGTCCTTCCCACGCCGCAGCCGCAGCCCTTCCCTCGCAGTTTTTTGAGGAAGAATCGCGAAGCTGTTTCAAGCGATGCTCTAATGCAAACACCATTGTTCCGTGGCGAGGGAAAATATGGCAACACGAATTTTGTCTGGCGCAATTTTCTAGCCGAACTCTTAAGGGCTCGCTCACAATCAAGCGATTAGGAGCTGTCTGCAAAAACAGCCAGCAGCAGCAGCAGAGCAGCAAGCATCTCAGAAACAGCCGCGAGTAAGGCAGCCAGTAGGCAGGCAGCAGCAGCAGCAGCAGTAGGAGCAGTAGTTATAGTATAACAGTAGAAACAGTAGCATTAACAACAGTAGGAGTAGTAGGAGCAGCAGTAGCAGCAGCGGCAACAACAACAACAACAGCACAGCAGACAGCGCAGCACCAGTACAGTACAGCACCATCACCGAGACCAGCCCACACCACCACACACTCAACCGCCAATAACCACCGCCGCCGCCGCCACGCCACCGCCGCCACCGCCACGCCACCGCCACGGCAAACCAGCACCACACCCGCACGCCACGACCAACCACCACCACCACACCACACGCACACCCCGCCACGCCACGCACGCCAACGCCACCGCCACCACCGCCAGCCGACCACCGACCACCACACCACACCCCACCACACCACCATCAGCCATCCACTACCACCACACCCACCAACCACCACCACACACCACCACCACCACACCACCACCACCACTCACACTGCACGCCGCCACCTACACCACACATCCATCGCCCCACACACAGCCACACCATCACCACACACTCACCAGCCACCACCCCACCATCCACCACACCACACACCACACCACCACCACACGCACACCACCACCACCACCACACCACCAACCACGACCCAAGCCACCGCACACCACCACACTAGCAGGCAGCAGTACCATCAACCGGCCAAGTAGTAGTAGCCACAGCGCGCAGCACAGCAGCAGCAGTAGTAGTATTAGTATAGTATTAGTAATTATTATTTTTATATATTATATTATTATTATTTACTAGTAGTAGTAGTAGTAGGTAGTAGTATAGTAGTAGTAGTAGTATGTAGTAGTAGTAGTAGTAGTGTAGTAGTAGCCAAGCAAGCACGCCGATAGTCACGCTCACACGCAATCCTTGCACAAACTATGGCACATCTTTACACACACACAGAGTGAAGAGAGAGAAGGGTTCACTAGTGTCTGTATTAGGGAATCCCATCGAAGGTCTTATACAGGGAGGAGTTAACTAGTGCTTGCGAGAAGTGCCCCTCAAAGCTATTGCAGGAGAGTTTACTGGTGTCTCAAAGGGAATTCTTTCAAAGGAATGACAGAGAATTCATTGGCGTGTGCGAGGGAATGCAATCAAAAGACTTGGGGAAATTTTCCTTGAATGAAGGCTTTATGTGTACGGACGTTTACTGGTGTGTTGCGCAAGGGAATGCATCAAAATCTTGTTGGAGGATTCGTCGCTAGGGGAAGGCTTT